CTTAAAAAAAATTAAAACCACACATTATTTAGATCACATAAGCAGTCTGACTCAGTTCACACGGGAGCCATTCTCCTACTGAACTTGCTCTGCATTGGGTAAATAATCAAGCAAATAACTAGCCCACCGTAAGAGCAGAGTGTGGAAGCTGGCACTGTGCATGCTGGTGGTATGCCTTAACCACTAAACTGGGGACCTGCTCAGCCTCTCCCTGGCCTCGTAAATTGTTGTTCCATGCTGCTGGGAAGAGCTTCAAAAGCAAGGATTCAGAGAAACCTACACTGCAGCAGTTTTCCAAGCAGGCATGGTGCCGAGACATGAGTTCAGCCCCCTTAGGTAGGAGAGGGCCCTGAACTGGTGTGTCCTGAATTGCAGGGGCCAGTTGTGTCCCCTAGCATTTGGGTCAGTCCGAGGCATTTCACCCTTTCAGAAATAAAAGGGGGAGGCCTGTATTATTTGCAAGGCACCCATATAAACAGACCATCTAAAAAGAGCAAGTACTTGAAACACTCTCTTGGCTTTGAAAGATTTGGATTGTACTTCATAATGGGAACAGGCAAAAACCTAATCTTTCATAAGCAAATAGAAAAAAAAATAACTGTAAAGCAAATCAAGATATGTAGGTATTAACAAGTCGATAAAAAACTCCACTGAAAAGGTGGAAAAGATAAGGTAAGAAGCTTTCAGTACACATAAAAATTTTTACTAACTTGATGGGTTTTTCACAATGTAACTTGTGAAAAAGTAGACACGGTCATTACTGAAGTACAGATAAATTAAATTTGCTGCTTTATGCTGTTACCCATAATTGAGTAACACTGCAATTGCCAAAGGGATCCAAGTACTATAATCAAAGACTTTACAAGATAGTCTTACCAAAAAAAAAAAAAAGTGAGTTTAGCGTTAAAATTTTCTTGTCTTTACATTTATCTGGAACTCTAAACTTCTTGACTGAAGTGCTTTGGATGCTAAACAATTACATGACACAGCAATGCATATCACCATAGTTGGATAACTTTAATGCTCTGCCTAGAAAACAAAGAAGGGACTTGTTGCACATTCACACACACACACACATACATATATATATATATATATATATAAAATTATGATAACATATATATGAAACGAATGAGACAAAAAACATCACAACGCTGTATGATATCACTCTGGCCTCATTTTCTGTTCCAAACACACGATAAAGACAACTGCAGTCATGAATACAAGTACTTAAAGCAAACTTGTGTAGTTGTAGACCAAAGGAAAACTAGGTACATGATGGAGATTACAAAAGGTGCTCAGCATTACAGAAATTTCATAATGTATGTTATTAATATGATGCAAAGTGCAATAACAATAAAGTATCATGAAGTGGGTTAGGAATGGCCTGGTAGATCCAGCAAATCAGAAATGGCTGGGGATCCCACTACAGTTGTTAATATAGAAAGCATAGAACTGACTGGGCATCTAAGATAATTGGATTTTCCTGGTAAAATAATCACTGATGATGTAATTAATAATTATGATATTCAGATGTTTGTCTTTATGTCTCAAGGTTAATAACCCAGTGAAATGAAATGGATGGCAGTATTTATGGCTTTCAGAGTTACTGTTTCAGGTTTTCTGTAGGCTCATTAAGACCATAGTGGATTGCATGTGTTTAGTTCACATTTTCAAGGTCAGCTTCTACCAAAAGGACTAAAGAGCATATCAGTGAAACCTCCTTGTATTATTCCCTCTTCCAAGCTGCATTGGCTAGGATAACCTGCCATTGCACCTGCTGCTTCTCACTAAATTGTTGTTTTCACAAATAAATACAATGCACATGCTTTAAAGAAATTGTTCCTTTTATTTTATTTATGCTAAAATATGTTTAGTGAAAGAAAAGTCCATGCTACAGCTAAGAACATGTAATTGACAATCTTTTAATTTCTAATTCAAACTAATTAATGTAATAGAATTATACAGCCCCACAGCATATAGATTGACAATATTCTCTTGTGTATACATTTTACAGGTGTACAGTGATCTTGGAAAGAGAAGATGGGGGATGAGACATTATACAGTGCAGCAACACAGAACCCTGTAACACTGCAAAATTATTGCTGTTACTTTCCAGCATGTTAGAGGAGTTGGTGCTAGTGCTTATTTCTTGTCCTTTTGGCCAAAATGTCACCAGCCACAATTGCTCCTGACAAAATTAATCCTATTGGGCCATATGTTTCCTAATGTTCCACAGATGATAGTTTAATAGCAGCCATTGTAGACCAACAGTATGAAAAATAAACAAAAAATGCATCATCATTAAAAAGCTGAAAGGTTCCTGTAATTACAGATCTCTATCAGAGTACAAAGACTGGAGTATATTGAAAGCAAGATCTTTCCAATGTATGGGGGAAAATGATTTGTTGTGACATTTAAAGAAGGCATGCACATGTCAGTAACTCTGTAGTAGCTTTCTAAGGTGTGAGAATATCCGTTACATAAATTCCTCTGTCCTAGCACTGTGTAAGAAAATATCCTTACATACAGACAGAAATGACTGGTGAAATTACAATATTACTCAGCATTAAATTTGTACATTATCAGCCTGACTCTGAAAACCCTACACAAAGTTCCTACTGTTGTGCCATTTTTGATTTCTGACAAGGTTCTCATGAATTGTGCAAATTAGTCCTGTATAACTCAAGCTAGCAATTTGCCATGAAACACACATGAATTTAATTGCTGATAATTGCATATTAAAGAGAAAATTTTCCCATTAAAAACATTTTCCTAAACCTTATTTTCAACTTCAATAGTCATAGTCATCTTATGTTTTGAAATCTATTCAAGCACAAGATGAATTACAAGGGAAATGCCTGTACCCATTTTAGAATAAAGAAGCAGAAAAAAAACATTTCTCTTTCTGGTAAGAAAAGGAAAAAATAAAATTATGTAAGATATGAAAAGCTATTGTAAGAAAAATCTCTTCAGTGTTTTGGAACTACATGATCTTTAAGGTCTCTTCCAACGCAAACAATTCTAAACTTAAATTTCAGTACACCCTACAGAACATGGCATATGAGTTAATAGAATTTGTTCAATAAAGGCTGAACTTTGATAGTGAAAATTTAAGTTTTACTAGGTTGGAAAACCAGCTGAAGACATTTAGAGAAAATATCATTATAAAATATAACACAAAGCTCTAAAGATTATAATATCTTCTACTTAGCATTTCTGCACACTCTTTTCCTTTCCTTTCACTCTGAACTCACATCTACTAGGTATGATGATGATTTGTCAAAAAATATTTAAAAATATCATGTGTTCTTTTTTGTCATGATGAATGTCTTTTTTGAATTTATGCTACTTTGTCATTGTGAAGAGAGGATTTATAACTTTTCATAGCATTGAGCAATTTTTTTCCTTATTAGAGGCACCTGAGAGAAATGCAGGGCCAAACTTCCATCATGCCCTCAGCAAGGACTGCATTTTTGCATCTGCAATTTTTCAGGCACAGCTGAAATTATTTAAACACCTAACCATTTGATTTACAGATGTAATCAGGTACCTCTATATACAAGTGATTGTAACTGCAGCTGTTAGATTGGGGACTGTCATTTGAAATTCTTCCTCAAATGTGCAAAATAATTATCTTGAAATTATTTATGTGGGTTCATTAAACAAGTAAGCTTCAATCCTTGTATTCTCCCTGTGTGTTAAGCTGCTTAAATCCTCAGGTAGCCTTCCTGTGATCTCTGCTCTCATTATTTTCCCTGCTCCACTTTTTCTTATACCAAGTATGAATACAGCATCACTTGCTCTCACACAAGTGCAACATTTATTCTGTGTAGGCTGTGCACCCGGTTCAGTTGCAGACTTCCATGGACTGGTCCCTTTGTTTTATATTCAGAACCCAGGAACAAAATTAGACACTCATGTAAAGATGTAAGCCACTCACTCACTCCCTTCCTCTGACCCAGACTTCAGCTGCATCAATAAAGCAATTCTCACCGACACTGAAGACTTAGCTACTGAGCATGATGGCCACAATCTGGCTCCACATTTTATTATTCCATCTAACAGCCTCAGAATCAAAGATATTGTTTTTCCCTTCTGCCCTTTTAGCTGTCCTTTGTCTGCACTTGTAGGAAGATAATCAATACAGATGAAACAAAAAGGTAATGGAAAACCTTGTTCTTCAAATGTTTTGCAGGAGACAAAATGGCATTACTGGGTCACACAACAATTCTGTGCACACAGACAGCTAATGTCACCTTACCCATATCTGTAAATTTATGTGCTAACAATTTATAAATTAATAAAAAACAGCAGGCAGATCATGTGTAACAATCTGTACTCTGTACTCTTACAGGAATTATAGAAATCTTCACCTGCTGTCCCTGGGCCCTCTCCTAATATTTCTGTGTTGTCCAGATTGCAGAAGGGCTGTTACAGCGACACATTGTCCCAGTAAGAACTGTATCAATGGCCACTGCAGTCACTGTTCCTGCCCAAGCCTGAGTGTTCCACTGTGCGTGTGGAAAACTCTCTGACCTGTAGAGTAAAAAAACCTACAACACTGAAGACTGCATTTATGGACTCCACCAAATGCTGTACATTTTAATTATATAAACTATTTCAAAAACTGAAGCATAACAAAGAAGATTTTAGCATTTCATTTAATTATCTTTGGTAATAATTTTGTTCTTTCCGTTTTACATGAATTATATCTCCCTTCATTAAGATTATAGATAATATAACCCTCTTCTGAAAAAATAGTGTCTAGTTCATTCAATTTAGCCTGGCAGTTTTCCAGATCGTTAAAGATATTTTTCAGTATTAAATATTGGCAATGACACAGTCATCTCTTTACTACGTCTAGATGAAAGTTAGGAGTATATGTCATATGTTTTTCTTTCATTACTCCCTTACAGGATGCATGTTGGTAAAATTAACTAAAAGGAATTACAAATGCTATTCTTACTTGCCTGGATTCTTGTGAGGGTGAAGAAAATTTTGGCCCAAGCAATACTGAAAAACTAGCAGAAAGTAATAATAATAACTAAAAAAAAAAAAGAAAACAGCCAAAAAAAACCAAACAAAATCCCACAGAAAACAAACAAACAAAAAAACCCCACAAAACAAAAACCAAAAGAAACAAAAAAACCCCATATTACATTCAACCAAGCAAAAATGCAAACTAATTAGTCAGGTTAGCTGGAGGAGGGTAGCAAGAATTAAAATCCTCAAGAAAAGGAACATCTTGATGTTAGCAATGCCAGGAGAGCTTTAGGAGTGTGTATTAGTGAGGAGCTAGGAACTAAAAGTTTAATCCATTCAGGGCTTCAGAGCATCCGCTAATCTCCATTGAGAAAGGAGTGTCTTATTCTGCAAGGAGAAATGGCAGCCCTACACAGGGCAAAGCTCTGGACACACGAAGTATATGATGTAACATTTAATAGCCATGGGGCTTTAACATGTCCTGCTGCTGATTCCTGAATCATACCACAGGTCATCAACAGGATAATTAGAAAGATCTCTACTGACATCAGCAGGCCTTGGGCCAGGCTCCAAGCTAGGTCTTAGTGTATAACTGATGATGGCAAACAGACAAGGACTTCACATCATGCTACAGATGTTATCTGGGAGGTAAATGTAGTCTGTTTATTATGATTCCACACAGAAATCTGCAAACATATTTGTGTTTCTTAATATCACAAGATAAGCATAATTACAAAGGAAATTAGTGTAGAATGACAAATGTAGCTCTGGGGTTAGTTTTCATTAACATGTAGAGATTTTCTAGTTTATGATGCCAAATGAGACATTAAAAGGGTGCAAATGCCAAAATTGTCTAACACCATTTTTCTTAATAATATAAAGAATAATTAGTTGGAAAAAACACCTGAAGATGAACTTTATGGTGGAAAATTAATGTTTTTAGGAATCAGGAATTCCTTACTGGAAACCTCTAGCTACCCTTTATTTTAGCTATTAAAATTACCTTGGAGAAAATGTGATGTTCTCTGTGGCTATAGAAAATTCTGGAATGAAACAAAAAAAAACAGATGAGAACCCCTAGAAATTAATTAGTGCCTTTCATCCTTCTCCACATGGCATCTGTGTTGAAAGGAATCATGATCCCAATGCCACCAACCACTCATATGTGGACAGCAATGTGATTTTCTGTGGATTCAATCTTCCCACTGTGTACAGTTCTTGGTACTTCCTATTGTGACATGTAAAGGTTTCTTTAAGTCTCTAAAACTCCACACAATTAACTTTTATAATTTGGTAAGAAATAGAGTAGGTCTTTTCCAAAGGTCTCATTGCCGGTCATCATGACTTTCAGAAATTTTATCCCTCACTAAGTTTTATAGAGCAAGATAAAGCACGTCAGGGACAAATTAGTACTACAGAAACTTCCTTCTCTTAGATTAACATGTAAAGTTGTTTTTTATATTACCAACACCTTTGGTTGCCAACCCTCAAACAAGTCAACATGCCATCCTTCCCTCTGCAGGGTGTTCCTCTCGCTTTTGCTTGCAAAGAAACAGAACTCCTACCAGAGCTGTAAAAAGACAACACAAGTCTCTCTGCATCTGCTGCAGCACGAAAGAGACAAGCCCTTAATTGTTTCTGGCTTTTGGAAACACAAGAGGTACACATCAGCCTATGAAATGGCTGCAACATGCAGCAAGAAGGGCAAAAAACTCTTTGGAGCGGTTGTGTTTTAGCAGGCTGCAACACAACCTTGGCATGTGCCAAATGAGGAGACAGAGGGAGCTGCCTGGGATGCATATAATGTTTATCTTCCTGACACATAAAAATTTTTCCTGGGCCTGTCATTATGTCTGTTGAATACTTGCCTGGAGGAAACCAACTGGTTTGCACTGCTTCTGTAAGAACAGTAACACCAGTTTGCCTGTCAGCATCACTGGGGCAAAACAGTCCTACTCTCCAGACATGAAACTGGGTCTCAACCTGCTAAATAAGCTTTGGACCGAAATAGAGAGTGAATAGCACTGCATGCCACGTAGGAGACAGTAGAGGGAGTTAGGGAGAAGAAGGAAGGAGTGGGATGAGACATTCTCATGAAAAATTCTTCCTGGAAGAAGGAGTCTTCATAAAGATGCCTAGAAAGTAACCACTCCTTTGTGGATATCAGAAAGCACAGGGATGATGCTTCAAATGTCTGAATTGCCACGCGAAATGCATATGGCTACACTCCCCCTCAAACAGTCCTAGTCAGGACAGACAGACAGTATGATGCCTACAGGCGTGCAACTACACTCCATCATGTTTGACAGTATTATTGGAACTCATGCACATATTTAATGACTGACGCAGTACAGTGTTGCCAGCACTGACCACATTTTCCATTCTTAAGGGAAAGTTGTTGTGGTTAAGCACCAGGGTTCTTCTGAGACCAAGAAGCACATCTGTCCTACTGTTAAAAGTACTGGTGAAAATATAACTCCCCTCTTTCAGTCTGTCTGAGGAAACTTTATTCAGTTATATGACATACACAGTCACATCTTTCTCCACCAGCATTTCAAATCAGATCTAAAGAATCACTTCAAAAAATAAAACGAAGATTAAAAAGGACCTGGTTCTCCAGAAACAGCCAAGTGTCTAGATGCTTTTCTTTTGTTCGTAGTGGTAAAGAGTCAAGGAAGTGTTTTGCAGAGCATTCAGGCAAAAAGGAAAAGAAGGTAGGACTGTCTGACGGACAAATGTATGAGTTTCAGCTTGGAGCGGCCGCAGGGAGAATTCCTCTCTGCCTTTCAGTGAGTGACTGATCTGTCTGTGACAGGAAAGTTAGATGTAAGAGGCAAATATTTGTGACATAGTGCAAAAGAATTGTTTGGATTCCTTTCCCCTTACAAAACTTTCAACTAGGAATGCACCCTTCCCTTCAGGTTACAGTGCGGGATAGGAACTAGCCACCCTGAAGAGCTGCCAGAGAAGTAGTTCTTCAGTGTGAGAAGAAATATGTGGATCTTTTATTTCAAACTGAATTTAGAGATCAATCTTTTTTAGACCAAATACCTGGTTGCCAATGAAACTCACATATGGCTTCAGAGGAGATTTTCCTTTTTTCAATGTATTTCTTTTTTCACCTAGATCTGAGAGTTTTGATGACACCTAATCAAGTAAAAAGGAAATTGCAAAAAATAGAGGGTAGAGAAAATGGTAAAGGCAGTTACTGTTTGGTGGAGGTACAGAGAGACATAACCATTTCCATCAAAAGAAAATGGTTCAGCAAGGTTAAAAAGCACTGGAAGCAACACTGATGGCAATGTAATTGCTGAAAATGAAAATGGTTATGATTTTTATTGGCCCGAAGAAGAATTGCATGGTAATAGTACTGCAGCTGGTGAATCTCAAAAGGCAGCTAAGGAAAAAAAGCATGAGGTGGTGCCAAATGACCTTACTGGCTGCCATGGTATAGTTGAGTACAGTGGGGATGCACTTACCAAGAGACTTCCCTATCAGATGCTTTGCTTGGCCCTTCAGACTTACGGCTCTGGAAAAGGACACAAATCCATTCAATTTAGTTTTTAACAGTGTAAACATTATTTTTTCTCCCTTTTCCCCTCCATTTCCTTTAGATATTCATGGTCCCTGATTGCAGTGGGATCATAGCACAGACAAAAATACTAGCTGAGGATGCCACTGGCAATGGGCAGCTGCGTGATGGTCTGGTTGAGTGCCCATCTCTTACCAGATGTCAGCTCTGGTCTGATCTGCTGGGAGCAAACCTCTTCTTTCCTAAGTGCCTGCTGTCCTTACTGCCATTTGCTTGCTGGTGCGTGGAGACAGATCACTTGTGCAGGCAGGGCCTGTCTTCCTCTCCGTCTGTTTGCACACTGAGAAACAGGAGGAGAGCCTGATTTCACCCTAATCTGACTTTACAGCACTCCATCACTTAAGATAACCCACTGGAAGTGTCTTTTCCATTAACTGGCATGCATCAATAAAGTGTGGAATTCCGTAGATTTTAGCTCATCGGGATGTAAGCAAAACAGAGACAATATTGAATATTTCCATGTTTTATTTCTCTATTTTACCTTAATTGGAAATAAAAGACTTCTGCATTTTAAAGCTGTTTGTTCATTGCAAAAAGCATGGAAAGGGCCGATAGAAACAATTGTTAGAGAAAGATTTTCTGTTGGGAAAATAGAGGCAATGTAAATCAATATATCTCCAGAGAAAGATCAATTTTTATGGAATTTTCCCATCATGATAATCTTAATTAAATACTTTATGTTTACGTTAATTTCTGCATCCAGTTACACCAGCATTGTGCATGATAGCACTTGCAGCCAGAAAATACTCTTCTTTATTCTCCCCAATGAGCCAAGCTTTTTGCTTGATCTGCATCTCCCTCATGCACCAAAGTTTCCCTTTGATGATGACTTGCTCGGATGAATCCCTAGAATTTCAACTAAACTCAGAAATGGGAATGGGAGAGAGGAAACCAAGAACCACATTGCAAACAGGCATTGAAGAAACCCAGGCATAGTGATATCAAGGTCAAGTTGAGCTAGATGCACTGCTGTTGCCAGTTCCCTTTGATTTTAAGTAATTTAATTCTGAAAAAGCTCTTAAATTTTTGCTTGTTTATTCTGACTTTGGTTTGGATTTAGGTATAGTCATATTTTGCTTAGATGTATTTTCCCACTGAGAGAGGACTCAACAAAAGACTGAGATGGAGAATAAGGCCTGTAAATGGTATGGCGAGAAGGGCAGGGAACTCAGCATGACAAAGCCCTGATCAAGCACAGAAGGTCATAGAAAGAAAGAGAAAACACGAAAGTACAGAACTTGGTTGGTTTCAGTAGAAACTTAATTGCAATTTTCTTTCAAACTGTGTCACACTTTGAAGGGTTTTATGTAAATTCAGCCTACCAGCACCACTGTCCTTCCTGGGGGGAAGCTTCTCACACCAATATTTGTGATACCAGCTCGGTGGTATCAGATTAGAGACAGCTACTGAAACCCTCTGTCAACTGATCCTAGGGTGGCTCTCCTTAAGTGTTCATCATGGATGAGGAAGGAGAGTTTGGGTGGAAAAGCATCATCACTTTCAGGAGCTGTGCAGACAACTTTGCTGGCAAAACAGGTGAGACAAACCGTGTCTGAAAAGGTGCAATCCTCATGGTGTGTCATGACCATCTAATTACCTCCATGGTTCTGCACCATCTCAATGAGCTACTACCTGCTTGGAGACTGAGGCTGCCAGAGTGAAGTACAGGCTGTCCGTGATTTTCAGGCAAGGAGATTGCTGCTACATAGGGAAAATCTGTACTTCTTTTCCTGTGTCATAATATAGTCTCTCTGCCATATATAATCTCTGTCATAATTATGAATAATTCCTAAATTATGCTCTCTAATACTATATATTTCTCTAATACATTGCTTATTTAAACTCTAGTTTTATGATGTGTTTTTCCTCTGTTGTGATTAGAATGTGACAAAGCTATGCAAAGAAGTGAAGAAACAGGCCTTACCTGAAGAAAACTTGCAAAGGCTACTTTATGACAGAGACAGTTTGAGAAGTGATAAAATAATAATGCAAGTTCTTTCTTTTTCAACAGGCCAGATTTACCAGTACACCCCAGACACATCGTTCCTCACTAGCCACACAAAACAGCTGTAAACCTGGATTAACCAGGCTGTTAAATTGAGTTTACAGCTGCTTTGCATCACCAGAATGGCTCAAAGCAGGGAGAACATACCAGTGAATACGGGCATAATTGTACACTAATGAACGATGAAGTAGTTTAGGATGCAGTATTCTCTTTGGTAGAATGAAAAAGAAATCTTTATAGAGAGCAGATACGTTAGAATTTATTCTGGCTTTGCTCAAGGGGAAAAATTCATCCTCTTTTATTCTGAATGGATTATAATTAAGAAAAGCATCAGAGACAAATTATTCAAGGCTAGAAATTTAAAAGAGCTTTAAGAATACATCCACTCTTTCCAGATCTATTAGTGCCTGCTCAGACTGGAGTTACAACAAGAGAAACTCATAGTTTAATTATAAAATAATGGTCAAAAAACCTGCTTAGATAAGCATGTGTTTCCATTAGGGAAGAAAAATCATTATAGAAAACAAGATTAAAAGTTAATGTTGCAAATCTTGTTGTGTACATCTTCATTAATGCTGGATAACTACTGTATAATTAGCAAGGTGTTCATTGTAGAAATCTGTTAAAAAAGTTGAAATGATATCTACCTAAATGTCTGCATAGTCTGTAGTTACCTTAAAAATAATGAAGCTCAGATTATTTTTCAGTGTTTTAAGTCATTGTTTTTCTTCTGTAAATAAAGCTTACACCCTTAAGGCATTTGCCTTGCTGGAAATACAGCAGCCTCTGATATAATTTAACAAACACAGAAAGCATAAAGTCTCCAGATGACTGGTTCTCATTTGTATATGCAATGAATCATGCTTAAATTACAGGGAAAAGCTGGATCAGGAGACCCCATGGATAGAGTAGAATATTTTCCTCTTCACACTCCCAGGCATTGCACTGACAATAGTGCGAGATATGATGGAGATCTGGGCCCTCCACAGTGAAGACTCATGCATCACTCATCCCTCCAGGTGACTCCTAAAGCCAAGAGAAACCTGGTCTTCCGACTTGACTTACCTTTGCAGTTCTGTCTTCCAAAATTGATTGCCAAACCATAGCTTCCAGTTTAGCGGAACTGAGCCTATTTCACCTGGGCTAGCCACAGACTGGCTGTGGGTACATTCATAGAGCCACAGGCAGGCAGAGCCCACATCCACACAGACACCTAAGGCTGGGTATGAGCCCATATTCCTTCTCTCAGGGGGCTGGTGATTAGCTTAGGCAAAGGGCTGTGCTCACCACAAATACATGGCTTCACCTTCACTTCCAAGGAGCATCCAGCTGGCCCAGAGCATGAGCAATGAGATGATGTTTTCCTGCAAAATACCATGTAAAATACTAGTAAAATACTACATTCATTTTGAAAACACATTATCCCAAGAGGGATAAAAAATATCAGTTCAAAGAAAAAGCCAGGAAAATCTGGTCTTCAGGCTGCAAGATATTTAACCTTTTTCATTCCTGAGTGCTGAGCATCCCACACACTTTCAGTGATAATAGTAACAGCAGTAACAATAATAAGAGGAAATCAAAATCCGAAACAAAAGGTAGAGCTGAAGACATAATACTTAGGAGTTATTCTAAAAATTATGCACCTAAAAGCTACAATTTAGGAAATCATACTTAACCAGCAGGAATAGAAAAAAAGATGAAATCCTCATGAAAAAAAGGAAAAAACTATTCAGAAAAGCCTTTTGTTGGTGAAACTACAGAAGCAAATGATGAATCAGACTGTGGCATGTCATTAGAAGAAAATGTCTATTCCCTATGAAAATGGCTTTTAGCCAACTCAAAAATAAAATTATCAGTTGCATTTCATGGGGATTTCACTTCTTGGGAAAAATAACACAATTACAAAAAATACACTTCCTGGGCCAGTATAAAACTGTGGTGGGGGGAAAGAAGTTTTCCCCCTAGAGTTAAAAAAAATGGTAACTCCCAAGGGGGCGGTGTCACTTGATGTCGACCCAATGAGCGCTCCTGCAAAATATAAACATATCACAAGCAGACCAGAAAAGAAGGGTGATGTTGTAGTTGTTGGGAAGAAAGTGTTGTAGAGCCACGAGAAGAAGGGGCACGAGCCCCTCTGGGGGGCCACGGCCCCCCAGCCCCAGCTGGGGTCATAGAAACGGACCAGAGCCTGTGACTGAGAAGCTGAGTCTTTCTCCACTGTGAGTGGGCAGCAGGAGATAATGAAAAGTGGCAGCAGAGCAGCAGTGCATGGAGAACAGTGGCAGAGAGCCAGAAGAAGATAAGAAGCAGCAAAACAAGCATGCAACCAAGGAGGAAGACACAGAATTGTCTGAAAGAGAAAGAGAGCTGGCTACAGAGCAGGACTAAGCTCTACAGAGAGTTTTGGGGTAAGAACTGAAACAAACTCCCCAAACCCCTCTGAGACCTCCTAGAGAGGAGGAGGAGATGGACTCCTATTTGAGAGGATTCTTGGAGTGCAGCATGCACCAGAGAGAGGAGCTAAGAAGCTCAAGACGTCCCAGAGCTGGACCGGGACAGCCAGACGGAATGTGGAGGGGGTGGCCTTGCCCTCCCCTGTTTGCTGCTGCTGGCAGCAGTTGAGAGGGAGCACAGGAGCTCTGATAGAACTCTTGAGGCAAAGGCTCTCAACTGAAAGCTGCCCGAGACGTTCTGACTCAGGGGTGAATCCCCTGAGGAAAGGGACCGTCATGAAGATGCCCCTGCACTTTGTGATATGATGTGGTGACGCGAGCTTGTCCCTGATATCACAGTCCACAGAAGAGAGGGGGGAGAGGGGACCACCTTGTGTGTAATGGAAGGAGATCCAGCTACAACAGTCCAGCTACTGCTGCTACATGGAAGAAGAGAGGCTGCTGCCCTGAGAGTGGAAAGGATCTTTCCTTTTCCCTTCTGGAATTTATTGGAGGGAGAAGAGATTGATCCATTGTAAATACTGATTTATCATAGGAGAGATAGTTAAGATTATGTATACAATGTATTGCAATATTTATTTGTACAGTGATTGTAATATAATTCCCTTTCTCCCCATATTGAGTCTTGTGCAGTGTCTGGAAAACCCATCTCACACTGGGGTGAGTTGTGGGAGGGGGGGCTTGGACTCGA